ATTCTTCCAAGGATTTCTGAAGCAACTTTGCAATGAGCAGAATATCAGATGCATTCTTAGCAATTTGCAAGCGTAACTTAAAAGAAGGAGTGTTATCCTCCCTATGCCAGTCAGATGCCTTTTCAAACAACTTTTGCAACGATAATCGAATTGAAGTCATATTAAGAGCATTCCAAGGTTTAGCTAAAAAGTATATTGCATGCTTCAGATTAATATTTCTTAAATAATAAAAATAATTTTCCCAACAATGTGAGTTAAAGCCCTTTTTTGTAGTTCACTTTTGGTTTGGTTTTTAACTCGTCTTCTTTGGCATGGCAAGGAGCATTATCTATCAGTTAAAGGAATTTGTCGGAAAGATTTTATCTACAAAGGAACTCTTTTACCTGCTAAAGATATTTTATTTTAGATATTTATAAAAATGTGCACACTTTTGGAACAAATATTTGGTGAAACCATTCCTCAAAAAAGTTATTGCCAACCAAGCACTTTTATGGCCTTTGTAGACAAAAGGAACATTAGTAAAATGTTCTGATTTTCCAACTACCACCAAATTTTTTTATGTATATGTTTGACAGAAAATCCTGCTCTTAATTTGTTTAAAAATGATAGCAGCGTAAACTTTTTCTTTGGCATTTTGACAACGCAACGAGCAAAAGATACATCGAAATTGACCGCAGTTTAGCGAAGTCGGTACTTCCCCGAACTTTATTGTTGCACTTGATTTCAATTTTATACATTCCGTTGCTTCTTCGAACTCGGAAGATGCGTAAAATAGATAAATATTCTAAGAAAATAATATACTCGTATGTTGCAAGTTTTGAGGTAAAAATTTTGGAATGTCGCAAGCACTGAGTGCGTAATGAAAAGGAAATTTATGTTGCAAGAATCGAGTTGCTATTGTATTATTATTAGGTGAAGCGAGCATTAACTCCCTCTCTGGAAATGTAGTTTTCCACTGCCTTTTCGGATAGGTACGAAGACGTACGTTTCCGTTTATTTCATTTATATGTGTGACCCTGGCAACGGTCGAGTGAATCTCAGCGATAAACTGGTGCTCGTCGGAAGTTAACTTTTTATTGGTTAAAAGGTCTAGTAAACAACGCTTTAGCCATTCCAGAGAAATCTTGGTCACCGACTTGCAAAGTATAGTTTTGAGAAAAACATGGGTAAAGTTTTAAAAGCACCGGCTTACCGCTTTCAAATGCTCTGACGCATCGTTGCAGATTTTATGTATAAAAGTACAAAGTGTCAGGAATATTTTCTCCAAGTTTCAAGCCGATCGAGGTGAGACTGTAGAGGTTAGAGAGTTTTATAACCCGTCGTTTTTATCATGGCTTGACCGATGGCGTAACTTTTAACGCGTTTTTCATAAAACCACTTTATTGAAATCGGTAGTCAAAATTTCTGAACGATTATCGAAGCGATCGAATTAAAATTGTCCACACTTCTTTTAAGCCCGTTTTTGTAGTCCCGGAACGAAGGAATTATTTTATCTATGATTTCAACTCATTTTACAAGCCAATATGTGGCCGAATTTTATGCAAAATATGAAGTTTTTGTAAAAAACCAGTTTTTAATTTTTTTAATTTTTCTTCATCTCGGAACAAGGAAAATTCAGCTAATTTAAGAAAAAATTTGGATTTTTGATTTCAGATAAAAACTGTAAGAGTTATCATGACTATCGCGAAAGCACTTTCTTATGGACCATCTACTTCACGACACTGCCAACGCCTTATCTTATACTATTTTTCATTAAAATTTTCATTGAAAGTTGCCTACATTTTATACTTTTATATGTAAACAAAATAAGTTGTAATCTTTTATTTAGTATCTTTTAAAAAAAAATTAGAGAAAATAAGTTTTTTTTGGCCTTCAAAAACTATGTAATCCCTTAAATAAAAGATTCTTAATTGGTATCAAATGGCTTGCCATAATTAGTAGTATGAAAGCAAACTGAAGATGAAGTTGAAAAAAAGTTAATCGTGCGGTAAGTAGCACATTTACTCTACAATTGCTATAATTTTTCTTTTTTTTTTATGAAAAATATTTAGTTATATGGCTTTTAACAACCAAATGTATCAGGTGTGGGTGCGAACATTCTTACTACATATGTACATATATGCCGTTAAATAGTATTTCTGAAGCTATTCCTTCCACGACCACTTCTCAGCCGTAAACTCAACGCTTATTCAATCTCAAATCAAACCAAAATAGTTGTAATGAAAGTATAAAAAGCACATTTTATGTTTCAAATTCACTAATTACACCTCGGGGATTTCCAATGTCACTAGAACACAACAGACGTTATGTCCTTTGTAAATGAACTATGTCATAAATAGTAAATAGATGGTTTTGACTTAATTAAATGGGTAATTTTAATAACAACAAATGACTCGAGAATTGTTGTAATATTGTACATAATACAAATATATATAAATATTTATTATATGTGCCTATGAGTACGCGCCTTAATTACTTAACAAACTCTTTTCATATGTATGTACATATGTATGCATGTGTATTCTTTTCTTCACGTACCATATACTCAAAATAACTACATAACTGACTTTATATACTGAACACATAGGTAATAGTTTACTTCGAGGAGTGGTTTAGTCAACTTTTTCATACGAAAACCACAAACGTTAGCCAACTATGTCGCTTAAACCACGCCCACAATCTTAGAGTAATAGTAGCGAAAGAGTTGAATTTATTATTGCAAAGAAAAAGCAACAAACATGAAATATACTATTGTACATACATTTTTATATTAATAAAAAGAAATCGTCAAAAAGATTCCATGGAACCTTATGAGCTGTAGATATCTTATGCAGTTACCCCACTTGTGGCCTGACAAGCGCCATAAAATTACCCCGCCGTCAGGGCTGTGTTGAAGGCGTTTGGACGGCCGGCATTCCAGTGCGCCGCGCTTTGACGCAGAGATTTGCAGAGCGGCGCGATGCGGCGAGTGCAACGGAAATGCACTGCAAAGCCAGCGAGCATACAGCAGCGAGTAACGAGTTGTTAATTCCGGTTTTTCACGCCAGTAATGCTATTAGCAGCGCTGCCACTAACGTATACTCGACGCCAGCGTCTGCCACAGTGGGCGGCGTCTAAGCGCCGCAGCCACCACACCCCGTTTAGGTAATTGATATGCAGTGTAATAATACAATTAATGCTTACAAACTTTCGATCTCTTTTCCTCAGCAGTGCTATGCTCGATAGTAAGTCGTTGTGCCGCTTGCTAGCGCGCTCTTTTCAACTTGCCATACTTGACTACCAAGCGCCCCCTTTCTTCTGCCACTTTTAATTGCGTTATTGCTCTCCCGCTCTATTGCTTGCGCACGCTCTTAATGTGCTGTGTGCTTGTTGAGTGTGCGACGCGTTGCAGCCGCTGTGAACGCCTGAACGAACTTGCAACTAGTTTGTGCTCGAACGTTAATAAGCGCGCATCGGCGAGCAAGTGTGGGCACGCGAAAACGAGTTTGACCGGCAGCAACAGCAGCGGTGGCGACACAGTAATCGAGACGAATATAGTGCGACGTTCATAGTGACTTCACTTACATACTTACATACATACATATATATATATGAATATTAATATATATATTGCACTATTGTAGTGCTGTTGCAACAGCGCGCTGGGGAGAGGTGTGTTTGTTTGCTGTATGCGTTGCGCAGATCGCGTCTGCTACGACGCTTATGTGGCAGTGCGTTGCAAGCGCTGAGATTTTTCCAATTGGAAAATACCGGAAGTTGTTGAGCGACAGCGCCGGCCGCGCATTATGACGAGTACACAGCCAGCAGCGAGGATTTTATGCAAGAATTATTGCTGTCACGTTTGATTAGTTAAGGATTCTGCTAAGAAAAATTTGTAGCGCGTTATAGTTTACAGTATAATTCGATAGGAAATGCCGACGCGTTTCACATCAAAGAGAAACAAACACATAAATATAAGCGAAAGTTGAATAGTGAAAAATCAAAAAATTAATGCAGAATATCGAAAAGTTTTTGATCCAGCAGATCATGTCACCACAGTAGCGAAACTAAACTCCCAAAAACAGTATATTCTTTACAAAAAAAAAAAAAGAAAAAAAAACGAAAACACTGGATACTTCACTGCGCCAGTCAAAGTGTCAAATTACGCCAAAACGAGTTTTTGTTGTTGCTGCCATTACATGCGGCTATTTTTTTTTAATTTTTTCTTTATTCTTATTGGAGTAACGCAAATGGTAGAGGTTTCGTTTGGGGTTTGTGGTTGAACTGCTTTTCACCGCATACGGACCTTGACCCTGTCAACGACCAAAAAACCAAAAAAAAAACAAAAAAAAAAAAACAAAATAAAATCACTGAAAACGATAACATTTGCAAAGTAGTGGTGAGCTATAACAATAACCACGATGAATTTTTTTCAGCCAGCAGTTGTCAGTAGCGAACGCCATCAGATTGCTTTGACCTGTCAAAGTGTGAACTGCTACAAGTTTTAGACTACCAACTAACACATGGCATTCATATGTCACTTAAACTACATGACAAACAGACAAACGCTCACTTTTCAGCTAACAACTTTTGGCTTAAGCGACGTACGCGCGTTCACATTCCGGCCAACAACTGTCACGCCGGCCTTTCTGGTATGCCAAACAGTGGCAAAATGTCGTAGTGGTGTTAATGACTTTGAGTGGTCAGCTGCTGAGACAAATAGCAAATAAAAACAACAACGCTGTAGTGACAAAAACTAAAAAAAAACTAAAAATTAAAAAAAATATGTATATATATATATAAATAAAAAATTTAACAAAAATTTGAATTATAAACAAATATTTTGATATGAATGCGAAAAGTGGAGCGTAACGTGCCGCCTTATTTGCTAAGCGAAAATTTCATTTGAAAAAAAAAAAAATTAAATATTTGTTATGCGCTTGTGGCATTTAACGGTTATATGTATTTTACTTAATTGAAAGTTATGGCTTTAAAATTAAAATTTGCTGTCTAAATTTTGGTTCGCACAAATAGTTTGCTGGTCATTAAGCGTTTTGGAAACGCTTTAAAAAAGAACCGTAAATAACTGAAAACCAAATAAGTACAATTTGTTTTGTTTTGCTTTGCTAGCAGGCAAGCGATTTTTATAATGGCTGCTTATGCGCAGTACAATGGCTGCGGTTATCCGTCGGCGAATCAAGTAAGTGGAAGATTCAATTTTATTATATACTTACATACATTCATATGGACATACGTCTATTTTTATTATATACAGAAATGTTTTTAATTTATAAATAATTATGCATAAACGAAATAATTTTTAAATATCGTAGAATAAATTAAAAATATTTATCACAGACATAAACTTAGGTCTTGAAGCTTCAAAAAATTAATTTTTTTTCGATAATTTTTTGTACAAAAGTACAAAGTGTCAGAAATATTTTCCGCAAGTTTCAAGTCGATCGAGGTGAGACTGTAGAGGTTAGAGAGTTTTATAACCCGCCGTCTTTATCATGGCTTGACCGATGGCGAAGCTTTAAGCGCGTTCTTCATAAAACCACTTTATTGAAATTGGTAGTCAAAATTTCTCAACGACTTTTGATGCGATCGAATTAAAATTGTCCACACTTCTTTTAAGCCCGTTCTTGTAGTCCCTGAACGAAGGAATTATTTTACCTTTGATTTCATCTTATTTTACAGGCCAATATGTGGCCGAATTTTATGCAAAATATGAAGTTTTTGTAAAAAACGCTACGAAAAATTCAGTTTTTAATTTTATTAATTTTTCTTCGTTCAGGAGCAAAGAAAATTCACCGACTTTAAGAAAAAATTTGGATTTTTGATTTCAGATAAAAATTGTAAGAGTTATCATGACTACCGCGAAAGCACTTTCTTATGGACGGTCTACTTCACGACACTGCCAACGTCTTAACTTATACTATTTTTCATTAAAATTTTCATTGAATGTTGCCTTCATTTTATACTTTTATATGTAAACAAAATAAGGTGTAATCTTTTATTGAGTATCTTTAAAAAAAAATTAGAGAAAATAAGTTTTTTTTGGCCTTCAAGACCTATATACCCCCTTAAGAAAATATATAAATTTCACCAAAAAATCAAATTTAAAAATAAGCTCTGTATTTTATGAAAATATAATAAAAAATAAATTCCTGTTGGCATTTTAGAAACACAAATGTATATATGTGGGGTAAATATTGTAACTAGCACATTTGGATACTGGGCGCCTAACGTTTTTCAACTTCTTTTCTGAATGAGCCAAGAATATAATTGCAAAATCATTATTTAAGTTAGTTTATTTTTTTTTCTTCTTTTACAAAAGTAACTTTTGTAAAATAATTCATATATCTCTAGTGAGTGAACCTCCTTATTTAATGGACAGACAATAAAAATCTAGTAAGCGGGCAGCTTTTAACGGTCACTGTTTATTCAATATGTTCATGATATTAATATACCCTTATATTAAACAACAAAAAATAAGAGGCTATCTTTTGACGAACACTTTTTTATTGCACAAAAAATGAATTAAAAAAATGGAGGTTGGTTTTGATTCATTGCTTCTCTGGGCTTCTAAAGGTAGTGGATTAGGTTCGCACAACTACATATCCAGAGAGAGAGAGGGGAGAGAGTAGATCCTCGCCACATCCAAATATGAATATATTCGTAAAGGCGTGAAATAGTAGCTCACCAGGACCTTCAGAAGGGGAGTAGATCCTCACAGAAGAAGATTTTCACCTTATGCGGATGCCTAAAGAAGGGCGTAGTGTCTCAATCACTTGTGTGCCAACTATAAAATGAAACTTGTTATAAGATTATAAATTAGTCAGCGCTTCGAATGCATTTATTTTTGATATAAAATATTGAAATCCGTCTTTTTATTAGTATTTTCAGGTTACTAGCACACTTACCCCATTCCATTTGCCTTTTTTTTTAACCACTGAAGCGATTATCGGCCGAGCTCTTCCTCCAAATTCAGGTTTTGCGTCTTGATGTTTTTTCAACAGTTTATACTAAGCCGCCTCCGAACGGCTGATGGGTGTTTATGAGGAGCTTTTGATTTTCATGTCAGAAATACACTCGGAGAGGTTGACCTTCCCTGTCGAGGGGCGATCACAATTAGAAAATATGATTTAAATGTTTATTAAAATTAATTTTCTATAACTTTTGGATGCTGGTCGCATGCGGATTGGAGCCCGAGCCTTCCAAATGGCAGTACCGCGACCGCCCATTTTATTATTTTTTATTTCTTTTAAATTATTGTACTTTGCAGCTTCAGTTAATAAATATAAATTTTAGATCTCAATTCAAAAATCGCCAATATATAAATCGACGAATGGAAAATGGTTTGCTGAAAAATTGTTAAAAGGACATAAGGATATTGTGAGCGTTAAATTTTTTAACAGCAGTAGCATGATTTTTACAGTTTGTCATAGATAAATGGATAAGAATTTCACATATAGTAACAAAATTTCAGTAAAAAAAATTTTTTTTAGTCAACTTTTGTTTGCACAAAAAGCGATTTTCTTCTATGATTTCACTCACGAAATAACAAAATAGGGAGCTTATTCGATTGAGGTCTAAAAAGAAAGTATCGCACAATATTAGAAACACTTCTTCAAAACCAATTAAGTCAAAAGACAAAAAAAAAGTCCAAAAAAAATCCCAACAAAAGAAAGCGGATTTTAGATTTTTTTTTCAAAATGACGTATCGTGTTTGAGGATATAACATACTCCTTATTTTAAAGGAAACGAAAATGATTATCTAAAAATTTTTCCTGATAACATGCTCAAATTTTTTTTGAAGAATCTTGTATACCTATACAATTAATTTTTTTTCCTACAAGCTGCAAATGTGGCCGAGAATATATCCAGGGTCTAGTTTAATCGCTTTACATGGTCCTAAGTAAAAAATAGTTTCTTGATGTTGAGAAAATTTTAATTTTTTTCGAAAATGGTAATAAATAGCGTTCTTGGTTGAAGGTTCTTAATAGCACCGACATGTCCCGATCTGAATTACCATTTAGTGATAATTTAATGTGAATTATATTAAGAACTGAAAATATTTTTTTTTTGTTAAAAGTTGGTGAGTGAAAGCACCACTTTCTGGTAGAATGGTAGAAGAATGAGTGTAATAACATACTCAAATTTCCCCCCAATTGGTTGGATGTAAAATAATGGGCCGACCGTTGCAACGGTGTTTCGAGAAAAACGCGTTTATGTTGGAACACAATTCCGACAGTTTACGACGGATGTTTTCGCGCATAGCCCCAAAAACGCTTAAATAATACACTCTATTGACCAATTGATGATTGATGAACCTATCGCGAATATTAAAAAAAAACGATATATGAAGACTTTCTGGTATTAATGTATGTATAAATATCGAGTAAGAGATTAATAAATGGATTCTTGTAAACATCGCACACCCTTTAAGGGGATCCTTCTCTGATATTGGGCAAAAATCGGGCGAAAATCAGGCAAAGTTTATATTTTTTTATGGGAGAATGACTATTGGGGGGCTTCCTGAACCTCAATTGAAATAATTTGAAGGATAAATTTGTTGCATGATGCTCATTGAAAATATAATGTTAAATTTTTGGCTACTTTTTTCAGTTCAATTAGGTAAAAAAAATTTAAATAATTAATTATTAATGCTAATCTTAGGTTCAAGACCTACAATAATCTATATACTTTGCACCAGTTTTAGATGAAAGAAATCGGACGGATAGATATATAAAGCCCGGGGTTTGAGCTTAGATCGGAAAACATGGTTTCGAGGAAGAAGCGTTCTAAGTTTGTTGAAAGTTCGCAGCGTAAACACATACTAGTACAATTACGTGGCTTTCATTTTTTACGTAAAAAAACGATTTTATGATCCAAAATCAGGGGAGGGTCCGCCTAAGTGGCAGCGACCGCCAATATCAAGTGGTTATCAGTGGAAACTCACATTCGTTTGGTGAAGAGTATGTATTCTGTTTAAACCTGGGTATGTTGACGCCTCCGTGTATATTTCTGCCATGAAATAAAATCTTCTCATTCGGTCACTCCGAGATGCCTTAGTATGAATTGTAGGTCTCTCCGTGTTTTCTTTTCATAAATGTCATACTTGCATAACTTGTACCTAGAGTCAAATTTCTTGACAAAACCGTAAATGTAATTTTGTAGCCATTAAATTAGCACTCACACATCCATACATACATATATGTACGTATCATGTTGAAGTATCCTGAGAATTGTTTTCATTAATTTGTTTACATCATACCAACGGCTTGTGAGTGCAGTTTAATGCACACGAATAAAATGAAGATAAATACATTGTCATGTAAAAATATTTGTAATGCATTCGCCCATCGGAAATGTTGCTCAATTAAATTGCCATACGCGAGCAGTCAGCAGTAGAGTGTCCTTTGAAAAGAGAAAAGGAGTAAAAAAAAATTTGCAGAAATATGCTTACAATAATATAAAATCAATGCGATCACACATCAAATGCAATATATATATGTACATACAATCGCTGACGATCAGTTGTCATAATCACTATGTGCCCTGCCATATCACGCACATCGCAACGTGCTAATCATAACGATCTGTCATAATTCCATCATGCATTTTTGACAAGCAACCGCACAGAATATTTATGAGTCCTCTGGGCCCTCTATACGATATAAGAGCGATATATATATACATATATGTATATATATACGCTGTATGGCTACAATGACAGTTGTAGTTGCAGTTGAAGTAACAGTCCGAATTTGAAGTTGAGTGGCACGATCAGCTACAGCTCCAGCTACTGCACAGCGCATTGTTGCACGCCACAAATGCCATTTGTATGAATGCTGATAGAAGTCTGAAGAATATTTAACCCAACAAACACACATACATACACATTAAATGAATGATACGTATGTACATACGTGTGTATATATGACAGTTATTGCAGGTAGCGGCGAATGCGATCGCACAAAAATATCACACGATTTTATTGGTATCACGTCGCACGAAGCCACAAGCTAGCTAGCTGAAGCTGAGACTGCCGTCGAAGCTGTAGATATAGCTGTGGCTATAGCTGTAGCCATAGCGGTGGAGGAAGTACGAATTGTTGGCCCAACTGTGGACGCAGGCTGGCTGCTGTTATGAGCATGCGATGGGAATTCACATTGACATTTTCTGCTGCATTCC